AACACAAAACTTGAACTCAAATTTTGAAATCAATTTAAGGGGATAACTTTTTTTGAAGTTTGCGAAAATTTATCTTTTCTTATGAATGGTGAAAAATACAAGTGGGAATAACACTTTATTTTTTCTCTTTTTCTAATTTAAAACATTCCCAAGTTCTTTCATAATACTTCAAACCTCTGGATCGTTTTTGTGATTATCCGTATATCGTAGAGCAAATACTGAAGTACGTAAGAATGCTTATCAAGAACCACCTAACTGGACGCCGTTCTTTGATAATTCCTGATTTAGCTACTGCCACGCTCTCCAAGGAGCCACCAAGTGGAGCTAGATGCTCGGCCCCTATATTTGTAATAACTGATACCAACAGTTCAGAGCAGGTGAGTACATTTGTCGCATCCCGAGCGCCACCTAATCCAGCCTATATGTTTTATGAGAATAAGAATAGTACTGCCAGTGTCAAATTAAAAGCGAAGAGAGAAACAAAAGGGGAAATGAACCAATTAGCAAATTAAGTCTGCTTAGGTGGAGAACCCTGAAAATAGAAAACTTATTAACAAACAAGCGACCATCTTAAACCACAAACTGGTAAATCAAGTTAAGTGAGACTTAAAAGCTCTCTCCAACTAGTAGAATAGTATATAATACATCTCATTTTTATTACCAAAAAAAGAAAAGAAAGAAAGAATAACTGCACTGCTTGTGAAAGGAGACCATCAAGAGAATCTACCTCAATGACCACAAACTGTACTTTCTCTTCTGCAAATAGGCTGAATGCTAATGCCGTGAAAACCTTGAATTCATATGAAAGAGCATCAGTTAAAGGTAAGTGAAATCAGAATAACCTATGAAAGAATGGATTTCACCAAGTCGATTCTTAGGAAAGGTCGAATCAGACCATTCGACCTTATTTCAACAAAGGAAGCACGAGCTTCTTGACTAGAGATCTTTTTTTGTCTTTGTTCCAATTCAATACTAAACAAGTCCGAACTAATTGAATATTTGTATCAGAAATTCCACGAATTGGTTTCCCATTTCCATAATGGATATAATTGACAATTTGAAGTTGCACATTATGTAAATAAAACTAACAGATCTGTAGCCACAAACCGTATGAAGAAACATTACAAAGTCAATAAGCCAACAAGAGAAATATAAACCCACAAAGTATACCTCGAAATGACTGAGCTGCCCCTTTTCATGTTTTACTGCTGTGTCAAGATCTTCCTTTATTTGGTGGAAATGAGAACTTAACACCTTCACTGATACTGGCTGCCCATCTCTTCCCAGTATTATACGCTCTCTAATCGTTCGTATATGTGGACTGGTCAAAGTTTAAAAAGAAGAAAGTAAGGCCTCTGGTCATTGTCCACATGTAACATAAGCAACCAAAAGCTTTGTAATTATGATAAATTAACGTCCATTCATTTCCCACCTAGTATAGCAACCAACATAATACCCTTCTGAACGCAAAATGCTCGAAAGAAATGCAGCTGTCGATCCTTTCCCTTTTGTGCCAGCAATATGAAAAGCCTAAAAGTTCATTTAGATTTCCAAATTGAAACCAAAAGTACAAGTTGGATCACATGCTTAATTACTAGTCAGAGGAAAAGAAAATAAAACTCGAAAAACTTAAAAACTCATGTAAAGAATGGAAAGGGTCTTTTTTATCCTACGGATTTGAATCCATAAAGGAATATGAATGTGATTATTTCCTAGTAACTCGTAAGGGAATTTGAAATTTTTCTGGAAAAAAAAAAATAAAAAATGTTTCTTTGCCTTTCAAGAAGTAATTTGGCTACAAGAAAAAGAATATGGAGCTATTTGAAAACCATCAATATGATGGAGAAAAATATCTCCAAGTGGGTGTGGAATTGAACTCCCCTCTAACTTAAACCAATTCAAACTTGCCAAATCAATGAGCTTATATACAACTGAAGAACTTAAGCTCCCAAATCCTTCAATCCGGAAAGAAACCAAAGAGGATTCCAAAATATTAATAGCGATTCTGAGGATAACATGCATGATCAAGCTTTTCTGTTTATTGTAAAGGAGGGACGAAGTCTCTTTCTTACCAGTTTCAGTAAGCTGCAATTTACGAAAATAGTGGGCAAAAACCACTTTAGTATTCCTCAAATTATGACCATGATCCATACATAACTTCTCAAAACCATAAAAACACTCACATAACAACCTGGCAACGCAGCCTACTGAACTCAAAAGAGCTCATTTGGACTTGAAGACTTGACAACCAAGCTTGAACACTATTTCCAAATTCTATCAACTTTTTAGGTGCAAACACATAAAGGAATAGCAAAAAACTGTCAAACTCGATTTCATTTGTTTTCTTGAGTCCCTTCAAGACAGAAGATGGAAACATTTCAAGAATTTTCAAACATATATATTGAAACTGAACAATAG